GCTGTTGCCCTGTCTTACATAGCATGTCTGTGTTGCTGTTGAAGTTAATTTGTCATCTATGAAAGACCCAAGATATTTATACTGATATACAATTTCAATCTCTAGCCCGTTTATAATGGATGTAGGGGGGTCGCAGGTCTTGTGCCAAAAATCGATACACATGTCCTTTGTTTTAGTGACATTCAGTTCCAGCATGGCTTCCTGACACCAGTTTGTGAAATAGTCCATGATGGGGCCATGTGCTGTTTCACTGTCCTCCAGCAAGCTCACAATGACAGTATCATCCGCAAACTTGACAATGTGGCGATTGTCAATTTTAGAACGACAATCATCAGTGTAGAGGATGTAAAGAAGTGGAGATAAAACTCAACCTTGAGGATAACCTGTAGATGTAAAAGACGGTCCAGAATGATGGTGGTTTACTCTCACTCGCTGGGATCGGTTGGTGAGGAAATCCAGTATCCAGCCGGAGATGCTAGAGTCCAGTTGGAAGCGGTGTAAGCTTTTGCACCAGTAGGTGGGGCTGGATGGTGTTAAACGCTGAAGAGAAGTCTACAAACATTGTCCTGACATGGGTTTTGGGGCCCTCAAGATGTTTGAGAATGAGATTCAATAGGGTTATGGTTGCGTCCTGGACCCCTATATTTGTTCTGTATGTAATATTAGGAGTTCATTTAAATTTAGGTCAAAGAAATTAATACCATATGAAAACAAAAGTCAATATAGAATCCTCACAAGGATAGTGTGACATTTTTGTGTGTGGACATGTTTTTGTTATCCTGCAGTGACAATTTCCCAGAAATATGCTACAGTTTTGGGACTTATGTGTACTTGTGGGGGCCAACATCTGCTCTCAATGAAGATAAGTTCTATTCTTGGGGTGGTTAGGTTTAGATCTAAGGTGTAAATTGAGTTTAGGTAAGGTTTAGAGTTATGTATTTGTCGGTGATGGCTAGTGTAGGGGGCTAAGCCACAGAAATTAATAATATAAGGGTGGAGGTCAAACGAAAGTCCCCACCAGCATAGCATGACACAACATGTGTGTCTGTTCTAGTATTTAATACATTGTGGGGGATGTGCACTCATTCGCTGGACTGGCTGTGGCTGACCCTGATGGTTTTCTTTAATATATTCTTTTTGCATTGATCTGCCTCCCATTTTTTGTCACAACCTTGACAAATTGAGGCCCGTCTGTGGTTTGAATCCCTGATATCTCCCTGTCTGTATGGCCATATAGTGGAGCAATTGTGGAGTCCTGGTGATCAGGTACTTGCTTTATTACCAATTATTAGTTCTCCCTTTCAAGCTAAATTTACAGGCCCGTTTACAATCCTATGCCTGCTGTCAGACAACTTTCTCATGTAAATTTATAGAAACCCTTTTTATACTGTGAAAGTTACAGGATTCGGCTGTGAAAGGTGAAAAGAAGTAGGTTGAAAAGGCTGTCTCTGTAGCTTTTATCTATCTTTTATCTTATCTAAAGAAAACTTAAATATGTGTTCTCATTGCATGTCTCTGACTTTTTTTCAATTTTCAGTGAGTGGATACGGAGACAAATTACAAAGAGATTGCTGTTTGGATGGTATGAAGGAAATCCCAGTATCATACTCCTGTGAGAGGCGCACTGAGTACATATTGGATGGCCTAGCATGCAAACAGGCTTTCCTGCATTGCTGTGAAGAGATGAAAAAACAGAGAGATGAGAGAAAGGCAGAAGTTCTACACCTAGCTCGCAGTAAGAGTTTACTAGAAAAACAATTGGTCCCTGCAAGTTATTCTTAGTTGCAATAAAAATTATTCCTTAAGTCAAAATCAAAACGTCAGTTGTTTTTATTTCTAACTCAGGTGAGAAAGATGATGGTTACATTGACAGAGAAATAACAACACGCTCTAACTTCCCTGAAAGTTGGCTGTGGAATGACATCCAACTAAAATGCCCCAAAGACGATCAAAACTGGTAAGTAGGACACAAATCAAGAAACTGTTCCTAGTTTTAAATTCTATCTTGCAAAAATGATATTTATTTTTTTTCTTGCAGTACGATTGTGTCAACCGAAATATCTAAACCCTTACCAGACACAATCACAACCTGGCAGGTGACTGGCATCAGTCTGTCAAGAACTCATGGTATGCTCTGGGTGTCTGCAGAGCTTTTTTTTTTTTTTGCTGTTTTACTTTGCAAAGTTGTAATAGAATTTTCAACAAACTCTTAGTCAAGTTTTTCTTCTCTTTAAATAGAGATTTATGGGATTCATTACACAAAGCAGGGTTAACAAACTCAAATCCTCAACTCGGATTTAACATAGGGTTGGAAACTCACATTTTTCAGTTTCACAACGGCTGCTGTGAGTTAGTTTAGTCTACTCTGAGTAGGTCCACTCAGATTTGAGCACGTGCGTAACAAATATTAAAAGCCATTATCAGTGGAGTGCCGATTTGACAAGTCACCATGACATCAGGCAACAGGAAGTGCCTATTTTACACCACTGGAACTAGAGATTTAATGCAGAAATAAAAATAATGTAGAATGTATTTAAAATACAGAAACAGCGCTATAGCTGAAAAGTACAAAAGGGAGGAAGATGGTGAAAGAGAAGATTGCTGCTCAAGTTAATGTGTAAGTTTATATATGAAGTCCAATAAATGGACATTATTAGCGGTTATCAGTCCAATCCTAACCTAAAGGTAATTCCTTTTTACCGTGAAATTAATTAATCTATTCAGCTTATATATCATCTGAAAAGAAGACCAGGTTAGCTCTGGGGAGAATATTACTAGAATAACAGAGACAGAGGTTGAGTAAACTCTCTTTGTGAAACGGAAAACTCAGAGTTTCCCTGATTTCAGATAAACCTGCTTTGTGAAAGAGACTTATGGTCTAGAAGTACTGCAGTACAGTGTGTAGTCTTTGATTACTTCCTGGTTCCTGAGTCATATGAGCAATCCATCTGTGCTCTTAACATAGAGCACAGACGTATTACAAAAT